TGTTGATGAATATTTCTCTACTTTAGTATTATATATATAGAATGTGTAAGAGGAATTGTGATGAGGACATCGGAGATCAACGGCTACGATTTTTTAGTTATTTATTTATATGTTTTTGTACTAGTTTATTTTGTATTGTTGTTTTTCCATTTATACCCTTATGGGTGGTCATGTAGTGTTGTAGCCCGAAGGGCATTTTAGTCTTTGTTATTTTTCTTTTCATAAGGCCTATTTATAGGCTAGCTTTCTTGTATTGAGGGATGATGATGATTGAATGAAAATTTTGCTCTTGTGTTCTCTTTGTGAGTTCCTTCTTGAAGATCTCTTAGTGAGTTCTTTTTCCTAGATCTCTGTGTGAGTTCTAGGGAAAGCCCAAGGTGAGGGAAAAAGCAATACCCGCCAATCATTGGAAGCGTCCTTGACTCGTGGTTTATTTTTATCTTATTGTTTTCTTCTCCAAATCTCGTTTTCCTCCTCCCCACGCCAGGCCCTACCCGAGTTTCCATCATCCACCACGTTACTCATTAGCTTCTTCCACCACAAACCCAAGATCCACCAAGAAATCCCCAAAACCGATGGCAAGCCCCTCTTCCTCCTTTGGCCGCCGGCCACCGCCTTGCTCCAAGCCATGATGAAGATGTCATTCATCATAATGGCTCATTGATTGTGGCCTAGCAATAAATAAAGGAGTTACCGATTTTGAATTTCAAATTTGAAATTCAAACTTTCCATTTTTGCAAAATTCCTAAAAAGGAAAGTTTTCGAATTGATCCAATCCAAATTTCATGACATGTGGAATTATTAATTTTCATCCTAGGTGGCATCGACTCAATTGGAAAGCACCTAATCCCTCCCTAATTTCCCTCCCCTCTCACCATGCCGCCGGCCCCATGAAGGAGCTCTCCCCATTGATTGCTCCTTTAATGCCCATCCTATTTGAAATTGAAATTGATTTCAAATAAACTTTCACCATCCAATTTGAATTCCCAAATACATTCAATTAAGGGCCATAAATAAGGAAACTTTCCTCTTAATTGAAATATGGAACTTCCGTTCCAGATTTTTGAACAAATCTGTTATTAAATTGGGGGGCCCATGTGAGTTAATGCTAAGCCTTTCTCTCTCCTTATGGCCGGCCACCTCAACCCCATTGCTTCTCTTTCTAATTGCCACCTCATCTCCTCTTAATTACCTCCCAAATGCCTCCCCACTCCAACGTAAGTTCAGTTTTTACACCTGATTTCAAAATCTGAGAGTGGAAAGCAAGGTTATTCCCTCTCAGATTTCCTCTCCACCGTTACTTCATGTGGCTTGTCTCCAAAGCATTGCTACTGAGTTTTCTTCCCTAAAATGAGAGTGGAATTCCTCTCAGATTTTTTAGAGAAGAAAAGCTGAAACATTTCAGATTTCTCCAGACTACACTTGCTGTCCTGCTAGCCGAACACTACAAAATTGTAAAGGTCAAAGGTACTCATGCAGCTAATGAATAAGCTTATGGATATGCATGACGCAAAGTCTTCGACCCAGGAGGATTGATCATAATTTTTACATCTATCTTTCTCCCGATGATGCGCCGTGACGGAGTCCAGCCCTTTTGACTCAAGGGGAGAATGATGTGGAGCATTTTAACTTAAAATGTTCCTTAGTTTATTTTATTTAGGTTGTTACAAGTTTGTTACATGTTTCTAGAATCTTCTAGGATTTTCTGGTGTTCTCTACTTGAGTATTATATATATAGAATGTGTAAGAGGAATGGAGTGTTGATGAATATTATTCCCCTTTTAAGCTCTTAAGCTTTGTGTTTGTCTCTGGATTAGGATTTCCTTCTAGCATGTCTGTTTGTTTCGTTGATCCCCTGCATCAGTAACTCCATGTTTGTTTTTCAACTACTCACCCTGTTGATGGATTCTCCTTGGCAAGCAATTTTTTTCTATTGGATGGCTCTCCTTGTTTGCGTAGGTGGTAGTTGAGTAGATGCTGATGGTGTTAGCATCAAGAGTTTCATAAGCAATCATCATTGCAGCCATTTATTCCCTTATCAAAGCATTACCAACTCTTCTTTCTTATTGAGAATACCTTCAATTCTCTTTTTCTCTCTCCACATAGTTGTAGTTTGTGATAGAAAAGCTTTGATGATATGCATAATATTAAGGGGAGAGAAAATCTAGGGGTAATTATAATTTAACATCAATTATATTTTAAATTACATATGATATTTATCGAACATTACAAATAAAGTCACAAGACATCTTGAATGCAATATATTTGCTATTAAAAACTAAACAATTTCTTCACAAGAGAAAGAGGATGAAATTCTTTGCTCAAAGAGTAAAGCTATTTTGTGAAAAGGGAGATGTACATATTCCAAATATGAATGCTTCTTATTTAGGAGGTCGAGGTTATTCTCATTATTGAAAGTAGGGGTGTCAATTTTGGGTCACGGGTCGGGTTTGGGTCGAACCCGAAACTGACTCGGTACTATTCGGGTCAACCCGAACCCGTTTCTGTAAACGGGTCGGTTTTCCGGACCCAAACCCGACCCGCTTCGGGTCTGGGTCAACCCGACCCGTCCCGAATGACCCGATTCAGACAAAAAACTGCTAGTTTTCTGGTCCAAAAACGGGTCAAACTCTGCTTTTCGGGTCAAGAACGGGTAAAAAATGGGTCAATCTCGGGTTCCCGGGTCAAAAATGGGTTTTCGGGTCAAAACGGCTCATTTTCGGGTCAATTTCGGGTTGACAGGTCAACCCGAACCCGACCCAATTTTTGAAACGGGTCGAATTATTGAACCCGAACCCGACTCGTTTCGGGTTCGGGTCAACCCAAACCCAAAATTTTCGGGTCGGGTCCAATATTGACACCCCTAATTGAAAGGATACTGTTATGGCAGAGAAATATTATAGAATTGATGTTTTTATAGCTACTATAACTACACAATTGTAAAAAATGAACAATAGGTTTAAAGAATATGTTGTGGAATTATTGATTCTCTTATCAGCTTATGATGCTTGAGATGGATTCCAATCATTCGAAGTTGCAAATATTTGTAAATTTGCAAATAAGTTTTATGTTGAAGACTTGATAGATGGAGTAATTTGAAATTGAAGCTCATAAAATTCAACATTTTTCAAAATCTCAAAGTATTGGAAAAAAACGAGAAAATTGATTATATATCCTTATGGATTGATTGATGGATTAAATTGATGTTAACTCTACAAATGAACATGCAAGATGGAAGATCATTTTCTTGCAAGCCTATTGAAAATATATATTGCAAAAAGTTCTGAAGTTGAATCGATGGCTGTGGTTTTGATAAGATGAAGAAGAACTAGGCAGAATTTAAGATGGCTAACTAAAATAGTTTGATTATTTTGTAGTTTGTTTATTTACAAATTTTTTGTTTACTTAAGTTCAAAAAGTAAACTTCTAATTTTGATTTGATTTTAATTGATCTTTAAGTTTGCCACTCATCTTTAAATCTTGGTTCTGCCATTTTGTCATATAGACCTTTAACTCCATATAGTCACCCAAAGTATCATTCGCAGTCCTTAATTTAGTACGAGTTGTTTTTCTTAGGGTTGGAACTTGTGCATGGATACTAAATTATGATCCAAGATTGAATGAGCATAAAACTTTTGGAATTGTTATTATTATTATTATTATTTTATATTACTACGATTTAGGTTTATTCTAGATTACTTAAAAGGAACTAGCTTTTCCCTACTGTTCGTACTTGAAGTAGATCAAGCTTGTTTGTTGTATTCTGGTGGCTTTAGGTGGTCTCAGAGGGTATAGGAATGGTTTGTTAACGCTGGATTATGTATTTGAAGTGGACGGCTAGCTTCTGTGTTGTTGCAACCAAAAATTTTTGGTGCCCTAGGTAGGGCTGACACTACAAGGAAAATGTAGTATTACTGGCAGAATTTTTCCGCCAGAAATTCTGTCGGTAATTAGTATAGCTGACGGAATTTCCAGCACTTTTTTTCTTAGAAAATTTTACTTAATTTCTGATGAGAAAAATTTTACTTAGGAAAACTTTACTCATTTTTTGTAACTATTGATTTTCTAAGGACAACATTCACTAAATTTTATATTTATTTTCCTTATGCTTCAAGCATTTAAAGCTTCCAGCTTATTCATTAATGTTGATGTTTAATTGTAACGAATTTAACCAGGTCCATTATCAATTTATTATGGAAACATAATGATTTTATTATTGATTAGCGACGTGAATTGTGAATTAGGGCTAGTTTAACCGAAGATGTTGAAAGTCTTATATTTCCATTTTTGTATTTATGGAAAATTATCATATGCTTTAGATATGGTCGGCTACGGTCACTTACAGCTTATTTGCTTAGTCTAAAAGACACAAGTGGATACTATGTGGAGGTTTCTTAGGGCTTCATGGGTGGTTCACTGGTTCTATCTAGTTTATCTATAGAGTCAGACAACTTGGTTATCCAAACCATCCAAATCACAAGTTTATTTTTTATTCATTCATTATTGTTACTGGAATCATGCACAATGGTTGCATGAACGCATTGCAATGCATGTTCAAGCACTAATGTGTGCATGAGCCATGAATATTTGCGCATTCATATATGCTTGTCGACCACAACATTCGTTAGGCGCCAATGCATGGCAACATGCATCATGTGCATTTATGAAAACATGCCAGCATGTGTGTGCGAATGCATGGCAGTCATGTATGCTTGTCCTTGTTAGGCATCCTTGCATGGCAACATGGATCATGTGCATCCATGAAAACATGCTTGCATGTCATTCGCAATACTCGGAAGCATGTGTGCGGTGGCCTACAATTATTGTTCTTACATATGCTAAGGGTCTCATGGAATCGAAATAAAGCAACTTTTTAGTACAAGAATTTCTACCGTCTAAACGTTTTAGAAAGCAGTGAGAAAACCGTCCTCGATGAAGCCTGAAAATTTGAATAATTACTTGGGTTATGATCATATGATACTAATATAATTGTGATTCAGGCTGCTGCTCCTTCTGGCAAGGGAAAACCTTCAAAACTGCACAAAAGGAAGCATCAGATTGGTTCATTGTACTATGACTTGAAGCAGAAAGAGATGGAGCTGGCAGAGCGGCGTTCAAAGGGTCTTTTAACAAAGGCCGAGACGCAAGCCAAGTATGGTTGGTGACGAAGGTTTTTTTTGAATGAGTGTTGTATATGATATTCTTAATTGTGCTAATTTTAGTTGTAATTTAAGGGCTTTGAAATTCATCTTGATGCCTTTTACATCAGGATATCTCATTTATTTATGAGTGCACGGAATTAAATAAGCACTATGTTTTTTTTTTTGGAACGGGTATCCACTGACTGTCACCCCTGAAAGGGGGTTTGTCACCCCTGAAAGGGGGGTTTTGCGGCGTGACTAATCATCAGCTAACTTAGAAGAGACACTCAACCCGGAAACTTCGTGACCCGCATTTGATTGGGCCTCACTTAAGAGGTGTTGTTGCTCGAGGGGAATCGAGCATGGGATGGGGGGTTTTCAACCGTACTCGTCCAACAATAAAGCTAAGCAACAGTGAGTGTTTTGGGTGTTTTCTTTTTTCTTATGTAGGATATATGTGTTAACTGAAATGAAGATAGGGGAGGTGAAATCACTGGCTTTATGTTGGCTAGGAAAAAAATATTTATAATAATTTTTAATTATTAAATTTATTTTTAGATTAATGGAATGTAAGAATTGATTGATTAGTAATTATTATATTTTTCCTGAATAAATTTGAATCAGAATATAATTATGGTTTTAATGATTTGGACCTTTTTTTCTTAATGATTTGATTGTTTTGATGCTTAATTTTGGGCTTGTTATTTATTTTTTATCATTAAATATTTTAAAATGTTACTCAATATTTTTTTTTTAATTTAAAAAATTAAGTGTTTCCAGATATGAAATAGAGAAATTTTAAAGATTTGTTATATAATACTTAAAATAGAAGATTTATTAATGCAATAATAACAAAATTTCCAATATCTAGGCTCCCTTAGGATTTACTTTCATTAGCTTTGATTATCCTTTCTAGTTATTCTCTAAACTTAATTTCATTTGGGATAACTTTCTTACTGTTTTTTAAAATAATTTTTTAGTACAGATATTTTTTGAACTAAACATTTTTGTGCTAAAAAATTGCTTTACAAAAGCAATAAGAAAGCCGTCCCAAACGAAGCCTTAGTCTCTCATCTTATTTTACAAAATACTGAAAAAAAAAAAAATTATTTAAAGTTTAACCGATAAACTTGTGCTAAATTTTGTTTAAACAAATATATTGTTAGTCTATTTTTAGTGATTCATGAATAAATACTTTTAATACCTTTCTATTTTATTTTTATTATTCTACATATAAATTATGCTTAAAATTTGATAATTTTTGCTTGTTCATTCTCTTTATAATTGCATAAGCATATGAGTTAACTTATAAACAAAAGCCAAAAAAAAAAAAAAACCTATAAAAAAAGGCCAAATTTTTTACAAAAATATGACAATTTTATTTCATATAATAAAATAAAATGAAGTATAAGTTAATGCACTCTAGGAGTTCTATGAGGCCATGTTGTTTTTCATTTTTCATGGTCATCAAATCTCAATTATTTATAGAGCAGATTGCTATGATTCCTTTATGATAGCTTTCCCAATAATATTCTAGTTAGATATGGCTCTATCTATAGCAAAAAAATTGATTGCACTCAAACCTTTATGTTTCTTGTCCCCTAATGGCATATTAGTTTACTTGTAATTTCATGGTCCATTCATTGATGGGACCATGGATCATAATTGATAAGTAGTGGAGCATATCCTTTGGGAAAATTTTATTTATATTCATATGCTTCATATAAATCATAATTTATCCATTTGCTATTATTATAATGTTAAAATAGTCTACCCAATATACATATATCTTCAATAGGTTCTTGTTAGCCTCTTGTTTATTATAATCACCTTTTCATTGAGGTCTATTCTAATTGGAAATAAATAAATAAAAATGTAACACAATAGGCTTTGAAGTCATTGGATCTACTTTGAGATTAGAGCGATACACAAATAAATTGTATTGCACTCATCTCAAAGTATATCTTAGAATTTTAAGGCTCATCCTGATTGATCAAATTTTTTATAATCTCATTAAATCTCATGAATTTGATGTCCTTCCTTTTTCAACCCCAATTGGGGTAATCCAGTGCCATAATTTATGGCATATAAATATTTTTATAATATTAAGTATATAGTGTTTGATCTATTCTTTTATATACACCTATCATATATGAAAGAGCTTTTAACATTAGTAAACAAATGACATGCGTGTAAATTAACTGAAATAATAATGATGAGAATGACAGAGCTACAGATGCATCGAAGATTAATAAGAAGCTTTATTTTAAAAGTGAGGTAAAATATATTTGCAATAATTAATTTGTTTAAATGACCACTTTTTTATAATTTTATTTTTGTTTCATAAAAATTTTCAAGGTATTAGGTGTGAAAGATATCTTGGTAGATCAACAATGAAACATTTCTGTTATCTTACTGATCTAGGAGATTTGTAGCCAAATATGAACTATGCTACATGGATGTTAGTGGATCAAAACTTGGCTATATTATTATTTTCCATTATCTCCGCACATTTCTTGCCTTAAGTTCTTGATATAAACTTGTGCTGATATTTGGGCTACCGTAGATTGGCATCTCCATATTCAAATTCTTCTTGTAACTATTTGGGTTAAGAATGAGCTACATCATATATATATATATATACATAAATAATTAACCCTTAAGTGTTGATGATTTGGACTCACTATTGTGTAGTGAAAAAGATCAATTTTGCTATTGAAGCAGCTCAAAAACTACCATACATTAGAGTGTCTAAATCTATTATGGTCCATGTAGCTACTCAAAGTAGGGGTGCTTCTACCTCATTCTATGCATAAGTGTGCTCTTGAATATGCTCGAGGCACTTTTCATAGGCATAGTTCAGCTGGCAAAGATTATAGATGCTACAATCTATATCTTGTGAAACTTGTTATATCTCATCATGCCATCTTTCATGAGTAAATCTTCTCTTATAATCTTTCAATGACTAATAACAAGTTGTTCCAAACTCTTATATGCCACCTTTTAAACTTGTACCTCTTCAATGACACCTTGTTACTAAGCTCTTCAATTTCTACTTTTACATTTCTAACTCTTGCTTCTTCAGATATTCTATTAAATCTTGCAACTTCTCTATCATCCATTGTATCATCATCACCTCCTTTCACTTCACTGCAACTCTCTGCAACTAATTGACGCAGGAGCGTCCATATAATAAAATTGTATTTTCTTGTTAGTGATTGGTGTAACTCTATTTCTTGTGTAGCCTATTATGTGACTACCTGAAGTTTATAAATATAGGCTAAGGTCTTGTAATAGAGATAGATTTGAGATGAATAATATTTGAGTAATTTTACTCTTTTTGGGTTTCTGTATCCTGAAGGATTTCAGGTGGTGATCCCTCCCCCAAGAAGGAGTTCTTGGTCCCGTCACCGGATCCTCGATGTGGATTCGTCGAGACCCCTACCTGGCCGGTGTCATTTGGTATCAGAGCCAACTGGTTCTTCTTGCTCTGTATCCTGAGAAGTTCTCAGGTGGTGAAGAGAAGAACTGGCGGAAGAAGCCAAGTCGGAGGTCGTTCAAGGTCCGACGGGTTCAGCTCCGACATCAAACCACAAGAAAGCACGAAAATTCTTGTTTACCGCACAGAAGGAATTGAGTCCATGGTGTTATGAACAAGATACAATTCTTGTTCTGAAAAGGCCATAGCATGCTGGATGCCACTAACGTTGCCTCTTAGTCATTCTTTCCCTCTTGCAAACAGTAGTTTGTTGGATTTAGTACAGCCGTTGATTCGGTGAAGGAAAGCAAGATATCACCCAGCTGTTGGGCTGATTCTAGCTGCCCAAATCTTGTTTCAGATCTTCTGTTGGGTTGAGTTTTAAACTATGCCAATCTGATTCTTAAAGAAAGCAACGAAAATTTCCAACTCAGCCTTCATTCCAACGGAGACCATTCTTGATTTTCCCATATTCCAAAACGGTGGTGGTCTTCTCTTACAGCGAACCTATCCAAGGTTTCTCTGCACACGAAGGCCAGAGTTCCTCGCCAAGGTGCAGTTGTCCCTACCCGCCGGGCTTAAGAGGAGTTCCGCCGTCGCCGCCAGGCTCAAGAAGAGTTTGATCGTCGCCGCCGAGCTCAAGCACAATCTCGCCATTTACGCCGTGCTCAAGAGGAGTTTTGCCGTTGCTGCCGGCCTCAACCATCTTGTCCGTCCCCGAAGGAAGCTGGGAGTGATTTTTGTTGGCAGTTTCTTTCTCCTTCCAGCAATCAAGAAGGGCGGTCCAGAAGCTAAGAAGGGTGCTGTCTTCTTCCTGTAGGCTATTTTATTTTCATTTTCTATATCTTGCGAAAAGGTCCAAGTGGTGATTATTTCCTTGATAAGAATGACACCTCGTCAAAATCATCAAAGTCCACAGCAAGAAGCAGAAATTGAAGATCTCCTACAAGAAATCGCCCGACTCAAATTACGATTATCAAGGATTGAACGAAGATCGTTACAAACTGACGACGAAGACGACGAGGGTATTTCAATTGATCATATTTCTTCCACCCCACCCTCGGTCGAGTTTAGCCTCGAAGAAATTGAAGATCCGTTGCCGAAATCTCTGCCTTTAACTGTTTATGATGAGCCAATCTATGATGTGTATGACGATGACATATTCACAGGAGTTCTTGATCTTGATCAACTTATATATGATAATGACGCGAGCAAGGTGGATACACCTCGGGAGATAGTCATTCCTATTAAAACAACAATTATGCTCACCGTCATTGATAGTGACATTGGTAATATTGGCCTTTCAGCTGGAGTGAATGGTGTCTTGGCATTTGATAGGGAGTATGCTCGCTGGTTAGACCAACATCAAAACCAAATAAGTAATTTGAGATCAGCTTTTAATTCTCAAGCAGATGATGAAGAACTAAGACTTCTTATTGATGGTTTAATGTCACACTATGATGTTTTCTTCAAGCTCAAAAGCATTTGTACAAGGTCTGATATCTTTCACATGCTTTCGGGATTGTGGACAACACCTGCCGAAAGTTGTTTTATGTGGCCTGGCGGTTTCCGTTCTTCCGAACTTCTCAAAGTGCTTGTCAGCCACGTGGAGCTATTAACAGAGCAACAACTAATAGGTATATGCAAACTCCAGCAGTCATTACAACGAGCTGAAGTTGCTGTGTCTCAGGGAATGGAAGCTATACAGTTGTCTCTTAGAGATACCTTGTCACATGTTTCTGATAATATTGCTAATTACATGAACCAAATGGCAATTTCCATGAGCAAGCTTGGAACACTTGAAAATTTCCTTTGGCAGGCTGATCTTCTGCGGCAGCATACATTGCAGCAGATGCATCGAATACTGAGTATTCGTCATGCAGCTCGAAGTCTTCTAGATGGAGCGGCTAACACCGGGTGGAATTATCCAGACCTGTTTAGCCAACCAAACCCGCCTCCTTATGGTGGCCAACCGGATCTCTTTCTACGAGCTCAAAGTTTCCTCCTACCCCGGTAGAATGACGCAGGAGCGTCCATATAATAAAATTGTATTTTCTTGTTAGTGATTGGTGTAGCTCTATTTCTTGTGTAGCCTATTATGTGACTACCTGAAGTTTATAAATATAGGCTAAGATCTTGTAATAGAGATAGATTTTGATGAATAATATTTGAGTAGTTTTTACACTGCTTTTGGGTTTCTGTATCCTGAAGGATTTCAGGTGGTGATCCCTCCCCCAAGAAGGAGTTCTTGGTCCCGTCACCGGATCCTCGACGTGGATTCGTCGAGACCCCTACCTGGCCGGTGTCACTAATGCTTCTTCCAACTATTCCTCTTCATCCACTCTACCACAGCTCTCCCTATCTTATACTTCTTCCTCTTCTTGTCATGTACATTCAAGACATCCTATGTTCACAAAAATAAAAGTTGATCATTTGAAAACAAAGATTATTTTCATTTGCATCATATTAATACCTCAATCTAATATCCTACTTAATACTCATTTTGCTATAAAAGATACTAATTGGATTACTACTCACTTTGCTATAAAAGATACTAATTGGAGGCTTGCAATATCAGCTACATTTCATGCCCTTCAATCACAAGAAACCTGAATTATAACTTTTTCACCTACTTATCAGATTGTTTTAGGATGCCAATAGATTTACAAAATAAAGCAAAATGCATATGTTTCTATTGTCCATATTACAAAGCTAGACTTGTTGATCAAGAACACAAACAAGAATATGGAGTCCATTACATTGAACCCTTTAATCTTGAAGCAAAATGCATACTATTCATATTTTTATAATGGTAGCATTATAGCATTCCTAGTGTATCATTCAACTTGATATTTCTAATGTTTTCTAACATGATAATGTTATGAATGTTGTCTATATGAAATAATCACAATGATTTGGTGATCTTCAGCATCTGAATTATGTATGCAGGTTATCTTTAAAAAAATTATTCATAATTTTAAGCAAGCACCATGCCAATGATTTGCTATGCTCTATACTCATATATAGGACCTTGTTCACTTTAATTGCAATGGATTCATCACTATTAATTTGTCATCAATTTGATTCTATTATGTAAATCATAATCTATATAGACAACATACTTCTTGTGAGTAACAATCCATCCACTATTGACAACTTGATAATGAATCTTCATCATAGTTCTCAAATGTGCAGCCTCAGCTCCATATCATATGTTCTTAGCATGCAAGTTCTTCAAACACCTATTGCAATTCATCTAAGCCCGCCCAAATATTATGTGCAAGACTGCCCATAGTCTGATTCAAATTTCTATGACCTTAACATTTTCAGACCTATTGTCGATTCTCTATAATATTTAACTATCACAAAACCAAATATTTCATTTATAGTAAATAAAGTATGTCAATCTATGCACAAACTCTTGATTTTATTTATCAAAATCTAGAAGTTATTCTAAGGCTCGTTTGTGACAACTTTCTTACTACTTTCTAAAGCAGCTTTCTAGTACAAAAATATTAAGAACTAAAAATTTTTGTACTAAAAAACTGCTTTTAAAAAACAATAAAAAAATCGTCCCAAACAAAACTTAGAAAAGCATACAAGACACCATTCATTATGTGCCTACCTCAATCTCATCTCAATTCTAGCTAAAGATTGTCTTATTCAATTTGTTTCAAGTAAAAGGTCTATTCAATTTTCTAAGTCTTGCTTGATTGTTTAGTGTTATTATGATTGAAAAATATATATTTAAAAAATATTATTAAAATATTATTATTATTATTATTATTATTTATTTTTTAAAAATATTAATATTAATCCTCACTTTAGAGATTTTTTTTTGGGAAAAAATTATATTGATTTACAATTACAACCAAATGATTGAATTTAAGATATTTATAATTTTGTAAAAAAATTATAATTTCAAGCAACCAAATGGAAAGATTATTCTGTGCGGATGCCGAACGCAGCTCTACATCCGGATACCAATCAGAATGAACCACATCAGTGATACCAAGATGTAATACCGAGCCAGGAACTTAGGTATCTCGATGGGGTTGACTTCCGCACATAATAAGTGAAATGAGCCCATGTATAAGACAAAAACTGATTAAAAATAAAATATCATCATATATTATTTTTTTTTTACTTACATATAAATAATTTAAAAATATTAAAATTTAGGCCTTACATAAAATTTTATAATTTTAAATTATAAATGTCAAATAAGATTAATAATATTTTTAAAAGAATCAACTTATACGCCAATAAAAAAATAAACAAAATTCCTAACTTCACCAAATGTGGCAAAAAAATGGGTAATAACATGATTTCAAACAGAAAGCAAAAGCAGCCAAAAATCTGAACCAGAACCACTCATTCATTGTTCATTCATAAGTGAAGCAGGCAGAACTGCAGAAGGCATATTTTCCTTCAAATTCAACTGATGCTTTGAACAAAAATAAAAATTTACATGAAGATAGCATTGCTACAGGCAACAAACCTATAATCCTGCAATTTTTTTTCATCCATATGCTATAAAATAACACATTCATCATAAAAAGCTGCAACCCTGATGTTCCAATACATTAATTTTGATCAGTATATCCTAATCTATAGATATTTTTATGTAGAATCTGAAGGCAAGATAGGTCATCTTCTTCAAGTACATACCCTTTTGCAAAAATTTGGATGAAGCGTCCTGCCTTTGATAAGACTAAGCAATAGATGAGAGAGGCCGCGATTATGGACACTGGTCCCAGCCTTCCTTCGCAAACCGCCGGCGTACGATCGCACGTGTGAGAATCGGATCAGCCTGAAGAATAACGCTAGCAAGCTTACGCCCTCGCATCCTCGCACCATCTCTCACCTTCTTCCTTACTTCCGTCGCCCTCGTCACCCTAATCGGCACCTCCGCCGCCGATCTTCCGTACTCGCCAAGCACTCGAATCACCATCGTAATCCGCCCCCGCCGGCGGCGCTTCAACCTCACCGCTCTTCCGGAAAATACCACCGCCGATGAAGCAGATTTAGCGGTTGAAGCGCAAGAGGAAGAGCATGAGATGGTGGGGGGAGGAAAGGCGGGTTCGCAAGCTCGACAGAGGGAGTAGATCGGGGCGAATCCGGCACCGGAGATGGTGCCGGCTGCGAAAGAACGGCATCCGGCGCAGGCTACAGCCCTAACGTGGCGGCCGGCGAGGAAGTTGGCACCGTGGACACGCTCATCGCACGCCGAGCAGAGGAATGCCGCGTCCGCCTCGCAGTACACCGATGCCTCGCCCTTGCAGAGCTCGCACTCTCGCCGTACGACCTTTTTCATCTTCCTAAAACCCTAACCCTATCTTCGAGACGAAAGCGAAACTGCAAGAGAGGATCACAGGTGGTGAGAATCTGAGAGAAAAGAAGGGATTGGGGAGGCGGTATTTGAAGAGAAGCCCGGAGAGCGAAAGCCGCCTTGAGAGCGACTACTTTATATTATTTTGACCTGCAAATTTTTTTTATTTTTATATTGATTTCTTTGGCTGTTCAAATGTGTGGCTAGAAATAAAGGAAAAAGGGTGCTATTTTAAAATATAAAATAAAATCAAATTTATATTAAAATTCTGATATTTATTCTGAGTTTTTGTAATATTTATTAATGATTTAATATTTTGTTATCTATTTATGCATTTTAAATAAATAACTTCTTTCCTTTAAATTTATTTGCTAATCAAAATGACATAATTTACAAATTTAAAGCATATTAAGAGGTTGTTTTTGATATTTTTTTACTGTTTTATTTTTTAATTCACAACTATACTTTCATTTATTATTTTCTTATATTTCATAGAAATTTTTATAAAATTAAGTTTTTTTTTTAACTAAGGTTTCGTTTGAGATAACTTTCTTATTGTTTTATAATACAAAATTTAAAATTTTTAAAAAATTATACTAAAAAGTAATTTTATAAAGCATCAAGAAAGTTGTCCCAAATGAAGCCTAAATCTACTAATATATCAAAGTTGTAAGAAAATATCCAAATTTTTAAAAAAGAATATATTTTTGGCTTCGTTTGGAACAGTTTTTTAACTACTTTCTAAAATAATTTTCTAGCACAAAAAATTTTAATTCAAGAAATTTACGTACTAAAATTACTTTAGAAAGCAATAAAAATTGTTCCAAATGAAGCATTAGGATATCGACAACGGTTTTCCAAAAAATTACTTTCTTTATAATAATTTCAAAAATATCTTTATAAAAAGCTACAATCACCTCCAACAGACCCTAAATTCAATTTATTTTTTAAAATCTCATAATTCATAGTCTGAAAATTCTTATAATTTTTTATAATAAAGGATATTTTAATCTATTTTTTTAATTAAAATTTCTGATGGTGGCGCAATCACGAGCCACAACCTCGTTTCCCTCGAATTGTTCAAATAGTTTCAGAATCTATTTATTTTATTTTATATTTTTCTAATTTACTGGTTTTTAGTGTATCCAGTTACCTGCGAGGAAGCTTTCGCGCAGAAGAATGAGGTTTTCAGCCACGAAGGCAGTTGAGCTGTTGGGTGATGCAAGGTGGTGAGGTTACGTTACGGTGATCTTATCCTCGCTCAAAATATCATAAGCGCGTTCAAATTTCCAGCTTCCCAACCCCGAAAACCACGGTCGCATATAGGCGGCGCAGAGACGAGCACGTGGCGCGAATGTATCGTCGGATGAATCTGAGAATGAGACTCTTTTGCTGGAACAATTATTAGGTAAGGTCGTCACGTGGTCTTACTCAATATCGTGCAGGCCCGACGATTTGACCCGGGATTGTTATGTTCGCGTATTACTCGGTATTGCTCGATATTGATAGGTATTGCTTAGCAATAATGAAAAATATCGCTCTGTGAAGACCAATACCGAGTAAAATAGTGTCACGTGTCACCTGAGCACTACCAAAAAATAGGGTTTTCGCAGCACAATTTTTGGCCTATCCCGGCAGTTATACCCGCCACTATTTTCATTGCACCGGTTCTAAAACCGCTACATATCCGCTGTGTTTGCAATGCGCTGCAACGACATTCCGCAGCGGTTTGAAGACCGGCGGTGTAGATTTTTACGTAGTGCATATTTTAGCAGCGGTTATATCCGCTGCAAATGTACAGAATTGTGTCGGTTATAATCGCGACAAATATGATTAAAATCGATTGATATTCAGCTTTGTGGTGGTTTTCTGGGCTCTAGTGGCGGTTATAACCGCCACTAAAGTTCAGATTTTTTTTTAATTGCAAAACCTGGTCTTTCACCCTAGAGCTAGATAATTTGTTCAGCCAACTGTGCCATAGAAATTAAACAAATCAGAGACATTCACTAAACCGAAACATAAAACCTATATAAACAGGAGTTGTAGCTTAAACAAAAACACAAGTTTTAATCATAGAGATTCACAACAACAAGAGAATATTGAAAAATATATTTGAGTCACATGACTATAGAATAATATTTTTGAGTCACTTCCTCATTTGGAAATGAAACCAGATCATCATTTTCCAAAATTCTCATATTTCTTTAGGAGGCGATACTTCTTATTAATGGATCAATTAGCAACATTGATGGATCACTTAAACTGAGAACGCTGAGTATTGAGCCGAATTATCACTTAAATTGAGATCGCTGAGTATTGAGATGACAATTTTTAGTGGTTTGCACTTCTCGATGTCTTCAAGTATGTTGAATGTCACACACTATTTGTCAAGTATCTTAGTGCTACAAGTCTTGCTATTTCATCAGCTAGAGGAAGAATGTAATGTTTTGACAAGTTAAACTCAAAAAAAATTATTAGAGAATACTATTTCTCTTAGATAACAAGAAAAGAAATGAGCATAAAATAACAACCATTAGAGTTCAAAATCAAAACAACATAAGTTCGAAATTACATAAGATGTCCATAAAACCAAAAGTATCACATTTAATACTAAACCTCATCAGTAGACTTACATTTACAAGAAACAAGAAGTTCTTGAATTTTCTGATCTGTTTGAATAACCCTTGAGAAGTTCACATTTGAATTGTTGATATTTCAAATGCAAACTGGTTATAAGTTTGGATTCCAAGATAAAATACTTAGAGAAGGTCATATAAATTCAAACCCATTGATATAGCTCAAAGTTCACACTTTTCAGGCCTGAAATTTGATTATCATTCTTTATTAAGTTAATGTTAAAAAGCAAATGATAAGCATACTGGCAAACTATCTAACGAAAGAAGAATGCAAACAAATTGTTAAACATAAGGAAGTTTGAGTTCAGAAATAAAATGGCAAAGTTTTCAACATAACATTTATTACTTAAATTAGGTGATAATAAAGTTGCTTCTATCCGAGTAACCAACAGTGACATATGATACTTAGCTAAAAAAGCCAAATCATTAGAACTTGAAACCTAACAAAGAATAAAAAATTAATTTACTATGTCAAATACTTTAATTTAATGTCATTTATGAAGTTTAAGAAATATAAAATACGAAAGCATACCGTATTTTATATCACACAATCACACGTGAAATCTTTCATTGATAAGTCTCTCAAAATTTGATATTGTTAGATGTGTATGCCCGCGTCGCTTTCTTCTCTCTCTATCTGTGAAACATTGTCTATAAACTTTCAATATTTTCACAATGTCGGAGGACATATCTATGTGCATGAACCAAAGAATTATCATCTAAGTTGAATGAAGTCACCTTTCCCAAGGGAGTACCACCACTTAAAAATTTAAAAATAAATTGTCCATCAGCTGTTGTTGCGATTTTATTCAAAAATTAGACCGCTCAAGATATATAGAATAGAAAGTTATCCCATCTTCAGCAATATAACCCTCCGCAATAGAACATTCAGGTTGTGCTTTGTTAGCTACATAATCTTTTAATACTAAAAAAAATCTGTAATAATAAAAACCTTTATGAAGATTATATAAAGCTGAACAATAATAACTTGAATTAGTAATTACTATAGAAATACATCTCAAATGGATACATCCATCTATACTGATGCAGTGCACTTTTTAATTCCATTGTCAACTAAATCTTGTCGTGCTTGCAAGTTATCTTTAGATTTATCAAGATCAAGTAAAGTGCCAATGAAAACTTGTTGTGCTTTGGTGAAAGTGTTGTGTGATCTCAGTAAAATAGTTTTGGCTGAAGAATTATAAGCGATTTCATATAGCCTTAGGGGTGTGTATCCTTTTGTTGCTTTCTACAGCTATTCACGTGCTATTTCTCTTATTTTGATTCCAAGATTTCAGCTTCTTTTGATTCTGCAATTTTTGTGCACATATAAGCCAACCGAATATCAGAGGCAAATGACTTTTGGATATCAGAGGGAAATGACTTTTGGATATCAATTTGTTTGTTCATCAACTCCTGTTTTTCTTGATCCCGTAAGTGTGGAATTACTCTTTACAATGGTTGACGAAGTTAGATATTTTGTAAGAGGGCACGTCTCCTAAACCCTAAACTAAGTTTTATTCATGTGCTAAATTTTCAAAAAATAACTTCACCCATGAATCCTTAATGGTGCATGTCAAATACTTTTTAACCAAAACCAATTTGGGCTATGCATGAATGCAAAACGCATTACACTTTGTAAGGCCTACACATTGCTATCATAGTTGTTTCCCACTTGAAATCATTTCCTTAGTCATCACAATAAAAACACATGATATTTCTTCAGCCTAATGTGCAAGCATTCAAAAAAATAAAAAAATAAAAACCCTAGGTTAAAGGACAAACCGATTGGTGAGCAAGGAGATTCGGAGGAGCTGGACACGAGCAGACTACCGGACTTTGGTTTTCGATGCTGACGACCGGACGGCTGGACTTCAGTCTTTGATGGCGACGACCGATCAAAAAGCCGGAGAAGGGGGCGGAGGCACGGAGGAGCGAGAAGGGGGCGGGATCGAAAGTAAAAATGAAATGCCATATTGAATGCCCTAATAGGTTTAGAAGTGAAAACCACAACTTTTTGCAGCGGTTAAAACCGCCGCTTGTTGCATCGGTTATAACCGCTGCTAATACCTGGTTTTGCCAGCGGTTTTCAAACCCCCCAATACAAGTGCTGCGAAAGGCCCCATTTTTTGGTAGGTGACGTAGCTCTACGTTCGGACGCCAGTAAATAGTGCCCCCAGTGTCCACATTATAACCACGCGGCCCGACAACACCCCGACCCTCCCAGAAAGGAGCGGGTTGCTAATGTTTCGCGTTGTTGTTTTTCTCCGGTATTGCTCGGCGGGATTGTTTGTCTTCACATAATGATTTTCTCGTTATGTGCCGAGCAAATCGACCAATACCGAGTAAATACCGAGCAATACGCTTAGCAACACGCAACATAGCAATCCCGTCTCCTTTTCGGGTCGGGGTTGTCGGGCCGCGCGTAAATAGT